TTTTTTTTTTTTTTAGTAGCAACAGACCTAGTGATAGGATTGTAACTTTGGGCGATCAAGTCATTAATAATAGTACATGCTCTAGATATCCTGAATCTATTGTTCAGAGTGATGGTGAAATTGATGGGGATATTATCAGCAGAATTCAAGTTGGATGGTTGAAGTCGAGGAATGCATCGAGCTTATTATGCAATAGAAAAATCCCCCTCAAACTTAAGGAAAAATTCTATAAGATTATGGTGAGACCTGCACTGCTTTATGGTGCCGAATGGTGGCCATTAAAAGAGAAGCATAATACTAAGTTAAGTGTTGCAGAGATGAGGATGCTTAGGTGGATGAGTGGCTTGACCCTTAGAGATATAGGATACTAAATGAGCATATACATGAAAAGGTTGGAGTAGCTCCAGTGGAAGATAAGATTAGAGAGAGTTGCCTTAAATGGTTTGTTCACATTAAACGGAGACAATTCGATGACCCGGTTATAAAAGTTGAGGTATTAGATTTGACTTATGTTAAAAAAGATAGAGGTAGACCTAAAAAAACTTGGTTAGAAAATATTAGAAATGATCTTTCTTTATTAGATTTAAATGAGAATTTGACTTTTAACCGGACAATGACAAAAAAGGATTCATGTAGCCGACCCCACGTAGTGGGACAAAAGCTTGATATTGTTGTTGTTGTATTGCTTTATTTTACAGACCTTGATCTCAATGCTACTTTTAAGAAACTATTTGTACGATAGCTCTAAAAAGTTTTTTTTTTTCAAAATAATTTTATAATAATCTTTATCAAAAACTGTAGCCATCCCAAACAAAAAATCCCCATAATCTTGCTCCGTTTATCTGAAGGTCCATCAAATAAACACAATAGGCAAGTAAGAAGAAACTAAAGGCCTCATTAAGACAAATTTCGAGACAAGCCTCTGTCCAATTAGCATATTATTAACTTATTAAGGAGAACACCATACTAATCATTTCCAAATCGCTTGATTCTCATAACTTCTAAGAAAATTTTCTTACCTATTCTAGTTTGAACTATTATTGTATTCAAGGAATCAATCATGTGTAAACTAAAATGACAATGAAACACCTCATAAATTGAAGGAAAAATTATTCTGTACCGAAGTCGAATCCTGTCCGGATATTTCCGTGGATCGATACCGCAGTACTAGGGCTCGATACTGCTCGGTACCGCAACTCGGTATTGCTGACATGACTCATTCTAATTGGTAGCCAAATATAGAACTGCGTTCGACATCCTCACAAAATAATCTCTCAAATTTAAGATACTCAGAAGAACTCAAAGTCCAGATACTTGCCTCCGGAATTGGAGTCTGCATTCCCAACCAGCCTTCTGCTGTTGCTTCCAACCCCCTCTGACGTCCCAAACTTTGCCACAAGCTCCGGTTCCACCGGCCTTGGCACCTCCGGTGGCGTGCTGCACCGTATCAACGCCCAATTCACACCCTCAAAGAAGGGATGCTGCTTGATCTCCGTTGCACCCCTCTTCACACCGAGCCGATTCTGTGGCTCCTTCACAAGCAATCCCCTGATCAGATCTCGGCTTGCGTAGCTCGTCGACGGTGATTCTGGAAACCGAAGCTGCTGGCCGACAACATTGAACAGGGTGGCTCGATTGCCAGACCCTTTGAATGGCGTCTTTCCATAGAGAAGCTCATGGAGGAAAATGCCGAAGGTCCACCAATCAACAGCGCTGCCATGTCCCTCGCCCTTGATGATCTCAGGGGCAAGGTACTCGTGGGTTCCAACGAAGGACATCGAGCGAGCCGATGTTGGCTCGGCTACAAGCTCTGGTAGAGTGGTTTGCCGGGCTACCTGCGGCCCCGGCTCAACCCTTGGTTTCCGGGAAGTCTTAAGCCGTGGGATGAAGCAAGCAGGTTGGATACAGGTTGATGATGGCTCCATGCAGGCAGGTTGAACGCAGAATGTTAAAGATGGACGTTTTGAAGGATCTGAGTCAAGTGATGAAGTCTTTATGAGAGTTGGTGAGACGGCGCATCTTAAGGAAAGATCAAAGTCTGAGAGCATTATGTGGCCATCATCACGAACAAGAACATTTTCGGGCTTTAAATCTCTGTAAACTACTCCGAGCATGTGGAGGTACTCGAGAGCTAATAGTACTTCTGCTGCATAAAATCTAGCGGAAAAGGGGAGTAGTTAGATCTGAAACAAAATAATCTAAAAAATAAAAAAACGAACTTCTAATAAGAACACATTTAAGGGGCTGTTTGGTAGCAGGATTTAGACCGGATTTGAGGTAGATTTGAGAGAAATCCAGACAAACGGCCTAAAATGCAAAACCAAATCTCACGGCAAATGAAAGCCGCCATAGACAGAAAATTCCGTCATTTCGTGCTAAATCCCGGATTTTCAAAATCTTGTTTTTTGCAGGATTTACGAAATCCATTGGCTTGAGAGGAAGAATCCGCTGTTTAAATCTGCTCTACAGCCAAACAATCATATGATATTTAATAGGATTTATTATAAATTTTACCAAACAGTTTTCAAGATTTAGGCCCCTCAGGATTTCCAAAATCCGGATTTAGCGGATTTACGAAATCCTACTTAAATCAAATCCTGAGTGCTACCAAACAGCCCCTAAGAGTTGCAAAGGTCGAAGTGTTACACATGTGGCCAATGGAGTTTATTAAGCTCGCGAGTACCAATGATGAGAGGGTATATAATTCATTCAGGGGCAGGTAAATTAACAAAAATTGTCACGCTAGCTAGGAATTTCCCTGTACAGAATACAAATTCAGTGGCAATAGGCCACAAAAACTAGAGATAAAAGCGCATTTCAATATTTTCCGAATTGAACTCACAGAGTAAATGATTCAAATGAAAAAACAAAAACAAAAAAACCATGCGAGTATACTAGTTATACGAACATGCTAAAATAGAGCTACTTGTTAGTTTTTAATTTCTTTTTAAGTGTTTAAAATAAGAAAAAAAGAAATAAGATAATTACTAAGAACAACTTGCCTTGGACTTCTTCAAAAACTTCCAGCCATTCCTTCCTTTAATTACTCCACATCTATAGCTACTTGAATGACATGGCAATGCGATGACATACAATACTCTATTTTTATAAAATACCCACCTTACTTTGCTTTTACTATTTTGGGTTCTTATAAACTTTTACCCGATGGTGCTGTGGAGGTAGTCAGAAATGAGCCTCATTAGCAACCATAGGAGTAGCAACGATAGTAAAACCCTACAGGAAAGAGACGCTCGTTGCTCTAAGGTTAAAAGATTCATTCTCTTGTTCTCAGGCTTTCATTTAATTTGCTTCATAATAGTCACAGTTCTACAAATACTTTTATTTTTGACAATCACAAATTGTGTTTTCTAGACAATCTTATTTTTCACGTACGAAAGGCCAAAAGTATTTCCAAGTTTCATCGCATTCTAATAGAAATTTGGAACCATCTTGTTTTAATTATTAGATAAGGTTATTTCTCCTATTTTCCTTTTAATTTCTTCATGACATCTTCTGTTACTATTCTCAATTGCAACCTCAGTATAGGCCATTTTGTTCCTAGCAATTTGTTTGCAATACTGCTATAAAGATCTTAACCTTCTCACAACTTAAATCAAGTAAAATGGGGTAGTTCTGTTTAATTTGATGTAGTTAAGCTTCTTATATGTGTTGATCTATAATTGATTAGGTTCAATTTAGGACTATATCAATGTGTTTTAAGTTATGACTCTGAATCAAACTATATGTCATTGCTATAATGATTTTTTTTTTTTTTTTTTTTAATTTCTATATATGTTTTACTTATCCTTCCTCATTTGGGGTTGTTTCCTTAGAGCCTGGCATTGATTTGGGATGCTCCAACTTGAGCTAAATAACTTATATTTATTGGAAGATAAATATGCCCTTTTTTAACATAGGCATTTTTCTTATTGTTTATTATAATGCCCTATTTAGACCCCTCTCTAGTCAACTATAAGACATAACAGAGTTGGTCAATCTAGTCAAATGTATTTTCCATTAACACTCATCTTGACTTTACCCCAATTATGACTGAATGAGTAAAACATAATCTACCTAGATAGTCACAAAAATATATCTCATCCTTTAAGAAATTCATTACGCTCATTGATAAGTAAACATGCATGATTTAAATCATCAAAATATACTATAGAACTTCCTGATAGTTTTATAGAAAATTTATACAGATAAAAAATCTTTAATTTATAAAATGTGCATTTTTTCTATATTACATTCCAAAAGTGTAAATATATCTATAATACTATGGTACAAGATAATTAGGTTACCAACCTGGCCACCTATGAACCCACATTCTCATTTTCCTTTCTAGAAAAATGATTATTGTACTATTTGATGAGCTATAGACTTCGCTAATAATTATAATATAAGATTTAAATATGCAAGAAATAAATAATAATATGCATATGATTATTGTACTATTTGATGAGCTACAAACTTAGGAAGATAATTAATTATAATATAAGATTTTAATACGCAAGAAAAAAATAATAATAGCATGTTGGTCTTTTAAATATGAACATTTCAAATTATAGATATAACTAATATAGTGTAGTAATAAACTTATTAAAAAATAAACTTGATCTAAAATTTAAATAATTAAAAGCTTTTATTTTAACTTTTAAGCAAAGAACATGAGTATCTATAAGAACATGAAATGCATCTGTCATATTTTAAATCAAACAACAACAATAACATCAAGCTTTTATCTCACTATATGGGGTCGACTATATAAATCATTTTTCTCCATTCTGCCAGTTAAAAGTCAAATTCTTATTTAAATCTGATAAAGAAATGGTGGGGGCAAGAAATATAGGGAGCCTATACCCCTCGCCCGCACGGGTGATAAAACCGGATGACGAACCACTAAGCCACGAAACAAAGATGATGACTAAAAAGAGGAAGAGCAAACTCTTACATTTCAAATTAAACTAAAAAGAAGAAATTAAAAGATTACAAACGACGATCTAACAAACTCGAATCGAAAATCAAAGACACCCTAAAGTTGCTTCACTTAGAGAAGAGGGATACAGGTGGAGTGGCACTTGCGAAGAGACGAAAGAGGTTAGAAGCCAAGACGAAATGTTGGAAAGAGCTCGCAAGATTTCCGGAGGGGATGAGAAAGAAGACGAACAAAGCTCGCAAGCTTTTCCAATGAAACCAGCAGGTTCACATTTCCAAAAATCACATATCATTCAACTCTCTTAAAACATTACAAATCCCCCATATATATATAGGTATGAAAGGGAATATCAAAAGACACATAACAATGAATTCACATAGGAATTCCAAACATCACAAACATTAAAAACCTAATTGTTTTTCATGGAAAAACAGCCCAAGCCAAGGAACCGAAGGGGCAACCACGGGAGCCAAGGAGACCTCCCGGAACCAAGACGCCACAGCCACGGGAAACCACCCAGGCTCGGAAAACCAGTAGCCGGCTGGAAATCCAAGGGGCAAAAACACAAAAAACATTACCCCATGGTGGAAGCCAAGGAGCCACACATGGGAAAAAGCAAATCTTGGAATTCCAAAAGCCGGTTTGGAATTCCAAGAGACAACTATAATGAAAAGCATAAAAAGTACATTTAATAAAAGATAAATATGAACTCAAATGTTAGCTAATAATGAGTTAACCCTTAGTTCAATAAGTGAACTAAAGACCAGCTCATAAATGAGCTAAAATTTCAGCTCAATTTTGATTGAGCTTATAAACTCGAGGGAAGCCAAAATTGATTTATTTTGGACATGAGTTGACCCCCCCCTTGTCTACATCAAGAAATGTAACTTCTAATATTTTCTAACCAAATCTTTCTAGATCTACCTCTATCCTTCTTAACATAAGCCAAATCTAATACATCTACTCTCCTAACTGGGTCATCGAAAGCCCGCCATTTATGTGACTAAACCATCCAAGGAGACTCTCTCTAATCTTTATATATTTTGATTTTAGGAGCATCTAAGATTCATTTGTAAGTTTTTTCCTGGTTGTAAATAGGGGTGCCAATATTTAACCTGACCCGAAAAATTCTGGGTTAGAGTCAACTTGTTCGACATACGGGTTGGGTTCTGGTTGACAAAGTCAAACCGTTTCAACAATTGGTGGGTTCGAGTTGACCCAGAAATCCGAAACTAACCCGGTTGACCCGTTTAGTAACCTTAGCTTCTGCCTTTGGCGGTTCGGGCGTTCGGCCTATTCGGGACTGGAGAGCCATTTGCGAGCCATCACCTGACTTCGGGTTTCCTCCCTAACGTGTCCGTCCTCCGCCACAGCTTGTACGAGTCTGCCCGACCATCCAGGCCTCCAGATTCCACCATCTATCAAGTCGAGGCGGCACCACGACAGCTTGTTCGGCCTTCAAAGCTCCTCGTTCCGTGGGTTCCACCGTTCCGCCGTCATTCCTCCACCGTCTGCCAGGCCGAGCCGCCATCTTGTCCGACCGGTCATCCGTCCTCCGTCGTCTGCCAGGCCGAGCTGCCCACACACCCAAAAGTTCGTCTTTAAAGCTCCTCCGATAGTTGCAGTTTGCCAATCTAAAAAAGGGTTTGCGGGTCGGGACGTGTCAACCCGTAACTCGTGCGGGTCATGTCCGAGGTTGGATTTTCTAACCCGTTTTCAAAAATGGGTTGGGCTAGGGTCAAGCAGTTTAAACCCGGGTTAGACTTGAACCCGACCCGCGGACTCGTTTTGACACCCCTAGTTGTAAGGGCCATCTTTATTTTCATTGGTACACGACATAAAAATTCTCTTTAATGGTAAAATTCCACTTCCATGAATATCTTTCATGCTTTATTGCTAGTGTTTCAGTACATGCTTTATTGCATGTTCTTCAATGTTGAATGAATATTTATAGAGAAATCCTCAATGGAAGAAAGTCCTGCACAAAAGCTCTCTTTCCATTATGCTTATCACTTCACACCAAACCAAGCCTTATTAAAAATTTTTGTTTAGAGAATACACAAGCAACCAAATAATACCTTACCCTAATTATGTTCCTATTTTTCTATGAATAGAAACATTATCAAGTTCTCGTAGATGGATGTATCTTTGTACAAGCAGTGGTTATGTAAGCGGCTAAGCGCACAATTCCTATGTGATGTCAATCAAAAGTTCTACAAATTATATGACTGGTGAAAAAATTAGATGTCCATGTTCTCCATATAGAAATAGAAAATTTATTGTTCATCATAATGTTTCGATTCATTCATGCAAAAAGGGATTTATGATGAACTATAATGAATGATATAACCGTTGTCAAAATGAACTATAATCAATGAGAGAAAAATATCATATCAGTTCATATTCAATTTTAATGATGAATGTAAGGGGTGTAGAATTACGAAATAAAACAACATATTTTGAACGGATGAACTCAAGGAAAACCAAATTAATTCAAAAGGTACACAATTTAATACACTCCTTCAAGATGCATATGAATCTTTATGGGCTAGTGCAAAGGCTTTGAAGCTATCAACTACTAAAATTTTAGATATTAAAACCAAGTTCAATGTATCAAATGCATGTCAAAACAACCATATATCTCTATTTAAATAAATTATGCCAAATGAAAATAAATTACCTGTACATTTAAATCAAATCAGACAAATGGTGAAGGCTCTAGATCTTGATTACCAAAAGATAGATTCTTCCAAAAATGATTGTCCTATACTCTAGAAAGAGAATAATGATAGGTTGGAGTATTTGATATGTAGTCATCTACGAAAGATGCTAGAGGAAGATATTTATCAGATGCTTCATATAATAAGTTATGCTATCTTCCACTAAAACCTAGACTTCAAATCGCAGATTATACGACATGGCATATTAAACATATCTATCCCAATAACAAAATAGTTGTTCATCCCGATTCCCTTCCTTCAGGAAAACCACGTAGCATGAGAATTGAACTATGTATTAAAAGTGTTCAACTCATTATCTATGACTCCATATTCTATATGGCAAGTTCAAGTTGTTGTGCATATAATCCACCATCTTAGATGTGTATTAAACCACCATTTATTTTCTTATCATTACAAATATCAAATCCCCAAAGTCCAGCAAAATAAATAAATGTATTTTAAGGCAATTTATTGATAAGTTAAAAATTATGTGGGAAGGTCTTATCACCTTCACGATGACCATTTTAATATGAATAATTGTTATACGGATAATTAGTAATTTTTTCAGCCTATGCAATGTTGTTGAGATGGAGTACACATGGTGGATTGTTATATCCATATTATATAAAACACTTAAAAGCATTTAATTCAGCGTTATTTGATAAGCAATCATGTTTTGATTGTCATTGCATGTTGTTACCTATCAATCATCCATTTAGATAGCCAAACAAAGTAGTACATACAGAGATAAATATTTTTTAAAATATATTCAATATTGTAATGAATTATTCTAAAAGATGGAGTCAATGTCAGCCGAGACTTAAACATTGTAGCCACCCTTCTTTGCAATTAATTGGTGGGGGAATGAAGAAACTTAGGTGATCATATGCTTTGACAAAGAAACAAAGGAAAGAAATATGTTTATAGATGACAACATTAAAATTACTAGATGAATATGCATCAAATTTAAGCTAGCTTGAAAATATGGAAAACTATACATGATAAAGAATGAAAACAAATTATTATCATTTTTAATCTTGATATCATTTTATGATAGATTCCTGAAGTTGTTTGAGATGTATTTTATAAAGAGAGGACCAAAATGTTCCCTGACTCTTTATGAAAGAGATGTACACTAATGAATATTGAATATATAAGAAAATTGGTGGGCATAATGAGCTAATTTGAAAAAAAAAAAAATTTCTACCATCATTTTTTGAATTAATACTTGGCACATGAGATGAAAGTTGATTGCGTATTCAATTAGATATATGTACATCTTGATCACCCTTTTTGATAACTTAAACATATGAAAGTTTTAAGAAGTAAAAAATTTAAATAAAATCTCAGGATCGATATGTGAGGCATATTTGTTAAAGATATTTATACATTTTGCTCTATGTATTTCAAAGAAGATACTGCATAGCGGCGAAGCTCAAGGCGACACAGAATGCTTTTCAATTTTTAAAAACCCTAGAAAACCTTTATATTAAAATGGCCACTTAAAATATTTGATGGAAGAGAAATAAAAATTTGTACATGAATCTTTAAGTTTGAGGAAGTGACGCCATTCTTAAAGTTGAATTAAATTTATCAAATTACATTCAAGTTTACTAATGTCAATAAAATTATAATAGAAAGACAATTGATTTGCCCTGCAATATATTTGATGATATCAACAAAGAGAGTTTTTAAACTCAACTCAAGAGCAACTTAGTAATGCTCAAGAAGCAAAAATTTTTAAATTGTTGAAAAAGCATGTAACTTTGCAAAATTTAATTTTTTTTTTCAAATTTAATTATTTGGCGATTTAACTTTCAATATTCATACATATTTCATTGAAGGCATCTTCTATTATTTGAATATGAATCAAATGCTTATCGAGCTTGTTATTGAAGAAGATCAACAACCAAAACATAATAATGATTACTTTATTAAATTTTGTACACAAGAATATGAAAGTGGAAATGTAATAAGGAATAGTGGTGTTTATATTAGAGCTTGTTCCTATAATGCATATGAATGTGACTAATATGGAGTGCCAAAGAAAATAATTGAGTTGAGCTATTTCGGTTCAATAGTGATACTATTATATGTGAATGATTCAATACTAGTAGAGATGCCATTGTAAATGATTATCATAAGATAACTGAAGTGAAACATAGGTCCCAAGTTGCAACAAAATGAGTTTTTCATGCCAGTTAAACAAACTCAACAAATATACCATGCAAATTATCTAGCAAGAAAAAGATTGTTGGATCATATGAGACGGTTTCCATCAAGTATTTCTATATACCCTCATTGATATTAAAGATACTAAAGATGATAGAAAGATTTGTCAGAAAGAAATGAAGATCAGTGTACTCATGTTAATCTATATATACAATGAGCTCGGGATAAAAGAATCTTAGTAGACAATGAATCATAAAAAATTACTCAATTGCCACTTCCAAGTTTTACAAGAATGTTAGATTCATCATTCATTGTAGATTATGATGACAAAAATAAAAGAACAAATGAAGAAAATGGGGAAGGAATTGAATCTAGCAACACTTCTATTAACAATTAACTCCATAGTATTATGCCTTTATATCACATAAAAAATATTACTATTGTTTTCGTAGATCTCATAAAACACTTTGATTTGTTTTATAAAATTTTAATTATTATAATTTACTATTATATATTTTAGTAAATTTCATCATTCATTATATATCAATACAAATGCTTAAATTTGATGTCTAAATTATAGATATGGCGTCCACCCATGGATCTCATGATAAACAAGTGAAGACACCAGACGACGAGCAAATTGAGATTGAGGAGCAAGAGGAACTCACTCTTGAGCAAGATGTGATTCGATACAATGGACCAAAAGAAATTTTCAATGAACCAGAAGCTGAGAAGTAACTTCATTAGTAAAGATAATTTACATGTATTTAAATAATATTCACAATCTGAATTATTATAGGTTCAATAATCCAAAGGCATCTCTTCGGGCATTCAAAAGTCTAAAACAGGAATTGATGGAACCGTGGATGTCTTGGAGAGACATTCAACATGATGAGAGGGAGAGGCAATGGAAGTATTTTCTGGTGATAACTATCTTATTTATCTTTAATATATTCTTTTTTAGCTTATTTTATGACTAATTGATTTTTTCCTTATAATTTTAGCATTGTTATAGCTACATTGATGAACCCCAGGGTACACTTCTTCGACGTACTTGGGAGGATACAATACAAAGTCATGTCAGTCATATTTTAAGCGAAACACACAATGTTGCGAAAATGGGGACTAGCTCTAAGGATATCTCTACTTGGGCGGATAACCATCCTAAAAGGATTGCAAAATGCATGTCCTTACAAATGATTGATAAGTGCAATATAGATGCCCAGAATGATCGATCACAAGTGGCTCATTCAAACCACCTTATGGAAGGTGAATTAGCAAAGCATGATGGTTATGCCATCTCTTTCATCACTCCTTGTAACAGCATGGTGAGATTATTTAAATATATGTTATAGTAGTAATAAATTTCATTCATCATTATAATATATTTATTACTATTATAATTATTTTTATAATGTAGTCTATGTCACAAGAGAAGTTGCCCACACAAGCAGAGTTATGTAACATGACACATATGAAGAAGGGTACAGACAAGTTTATTGATAAACACTTACATCAAAAGATGGTATGCATGATTTTAAATTATACATCTATAACGCTAGTAATATGATAAAAAAACTAATATTATATTTTATATTTTCGATTCATGTACAGGATGATTATGCAGCCAATTTTGCAGGGGGGTGTGGGGACTCATGTAAATATAAGGGTGGTGTTGACATTGAAAAATGGATGAAGGATGCAACAAACTCAGGAAAATCCCAACTGTATACGCACATATCCAATTATCTTAGCTCCAATTTCAAAAGGACTACTCGCGGTGTGCACATAGATGACTCTTCCAAGGCTCAATCTCGATCAAGACTATCACATCAACATATGATAAAAGTGGAGCAGGCAGTGGAGATTATGCTTAGATATGCTTTGGATTCCTTCTCAGATCGGCTAACGCCAAATATTGCAAATCAAATTCAAAATAGCTTGCGTGGAAAGGGGCTCAGCACTCGTGAGGATGATGAAAATGAGGATGAAGATGATGAGTAATCAATCCATTAAAATGAAGATATATTTTCTTTTAGCTTTCATGAACAACAGTTTTATTGCATTAGATAGTGTCTGTCACAGGCACTAAAATATTTATTGTTTATGAAGCCCTAATCCTAAAATTTTTTAATATTATGTCATTGATAATTTTTTATAGTTCGTTATTGTTAATATTATGATTGATGTGTCACTACTATTAGATTTGAAGTATTGTGATGTGGCGTGTCACTGCAATTATTTATTAAATTATGATATGTTTCAATTTAAAGGAAAATTCTATAAGATGGTAGTGAGGCCTGCAATGCTTTATGGTGCCGAATGTTGGCCATTAAAAGAGAAGCATAATACTAAGTTAAGTGTGGCAGAGATGAGAATGCTCAGGTGGATGAGTGGCTTTACCCTTAGAGATAGGATACGAAATGAGCATATACGTGAAAAGGTTGGAGTAGCTCCAGTAGAAGATAAAATTAGAGAGAGTCGCCTTAGATGGTTTGGTCACATAAAACGACGGCCTTTCGATGACCCGGTTAAGAGAGTAGAGGTATTAGATTTGACTTATGTTAAGAAAGGTAGGGGTAGACCTAAAAAGACTTGGTTAGAAAATATTAGGAATGACCTTTCTTTATTAGGTTTAAATGAGAATTTGACTTTTAATAGAACACAATGGAGAAAAAGGATTCATGTAGCCGACCCCACGTAGTGGGATAAAGGCTTGATGTTGTTGTTGTTGATATGTTTCAATTGCAACTGAAAATTTAGAAGTAAAATTCTAGATCCATTTTATTTCATTTGCAGCAGATTTGTGGCAGAGTTGTGATGAATGTCCAAATTTGCAGAAAATCAGTAACATGATTGGTCAATTTTTCAACATTTATGATAAAAAAAGTGACAGATTAGGCATTCATTAATAGTTTTGTGACAAAATCCATCGCATATATGTTACCTCATGATCAAAGTGACAAAATGGCTGCAAATTTTTATAACAGATTAACGGCTAAAAATCCATCAAACTTAGTGATGGAAGTTTAGGTTCGTTTAAAAAAAAAGATTACAATTAGTATTTTTGTGACAGATTGACTGATAGAAATTCCATCACAAAATCATATTTGTGACAGATTTAGGCTTTTTTGTGACAGAAATCATTTGTTACGTTGCAAATTAGCTTAAAATGTTATAGTAGTTTAATGGCACCTCTGTAGTCCTCATTGTGGCAACTATTTCATTATGATCCTCATAAAAAATTCAATGATTATGCCTCAAAGAACCAAGGACAGCCTACCTTGAGGATAATAGGCAAGGAAAATTTATGTCAAGTTTAGATAAGAATTAGATGGCAGATATTTTATGGAAAGGACATGAAAAGTTAGGAGGCAATGGACAATCAAAGTAGTATTATCATCTAACTCAATAACAACAACAACAACAACGATTCTTAATAAAAAATCCATATCAATAGCGCCTTCCGGCTTTACAATATCAATAAGCTTTAGTACATCATTAGTAATAGTTGACACAGTTATAGTTGCCATGACTTGAATAGACAAAAGAGCGATCTAGGTATACAATTTCACCTCATGTTTTCATTGTGATTTAGCAGGAGACTCACAAAGTTCCTAAAATGATAGCAAGTATAATTTCTAGTCTAACAATCTACAAGAGTTGTATTTGACTCTCAGGCATCACATTTATTCATATAATATAAATTTACAATAGTTCACTGGTTTCTCAATTACAAGTTACAACTTCATTCTTCAGCTACTATACCATCTAGTTCATACATGATAGTCACCAAATGTGTTGAGGATTCTGATGATGCTATCAATGATGTGCATACTTGCTACATTCATTTTATTACATACCGAGGTTGATATTATTTTGGGTACGAATTGGATATCAATTTGTCGTGTTATTATTAATTAGGACAAGAAGAGAATGAATAATGCAAACTTGATGTAATACCTTTTAACTTTAAGGGTGCTAGGACAACAATATCTTATAAAATGTCTACACTTAAAGCCCAAAAGAAGCTTGTACATTGGTGTACTACTAGTTAACTTGCTCACATATCAGATCTTAGCAAGTTTAAGCCTAGTACTAGTTTAGATAGTGTACTCATTGTAATACACAAAAATACAATTTTATCTAGCAGATCATTGTAATGCCCATTGTTAAAGAAGTAAGCTTGTAGAGCTGAGGTGGCAACTAAGTGACTCCAAAATATTTAGATTTTCAGATTTTTCATGTTTTTATCAGAATTTGAACTTGGAATAATTCAATTTGAGATTTGATGCATTTTCAAAAATATAGTCACCTCTGGTTGAAACCTACTTTCAACACCGCTATCATCAGGTTCAAGACTTATCGACTTCAATTTTTTGGGATGTGGAGGATCAAAATTGAAATGCGGGATTAACGAGCTTGCTCTGTTATAAGCAAGTTGGCCCACTTGAGACCATCTTACAACATATAAACAACTTTATCAGAAAGAGAGTTTGCTGAGTTTTAAAAATGGCTGCTCGTCATTCAAAAATGGTAGCATGAATCTCAAAGTGGGGGAAATTTAAGTTTAATTATTTTGAAATCACGCGACATTCTCTAAATTTATATTCAAATGTTTAATATGATTGTTGCATCACATGCAAACATTTTATTTTTTGTGATTTGATGTGCTTTTAAAAAATAAATATATAACACTACTAAAAATTTATCGTGACCCTTCTAATTAATGGTATGCTTCTTGAAGTACATACACTTTCAAGGCAGTTGCATGCTTCTCAGAGCATTGCAGTTGCAAAAATGTATCTATATGCTTTTCAGCACATTTACATGATGTATTTGCACTATGCATTTGCATATTTTACCCATTTGGATAAACTAAAAGACAAATATTTTATAATAATATTATTATTATTACAATAATAATAATTAAAAACCAAATTGATTATATTTTATAATTCCCAATTGGTTACATATTCTCGAAACCACTTAATCAAAGCATTAAACTCTTGGTCAAACTTTAATGATTAAAGGAGTCCAAATACAGGTTTACTCTAACTAAAGCTAAGATCAACTTACTCAAAATTTCATAAAAGGATAAGGAAACCAACTACAATATCATATCAACCTTTTATTTTGAATTGGCATACATTTTAATGCAACCTTGTCACCTTCCTTAGTTAAAAAATGAGAGAAATAAAGAGGAAAGAGTGCTTTTTATTAAGAAAAAACTTCACTACTTGGAGCTAGAAACCATTCTAAGAAATCAAAACGAACATTAAATAGGCCAACCAAAGCATCCATCATCTCAGCACACATAGGTTTTTTTTTTCATCACTTTAAAACCCAAATTTCTGATAAATTTTAAGACCTACTATAGAAAGCCTAAAGTGGATTAGCTTGACCCCAAAGACTCCTGTAAGGTCAGTTAGGGATGCAAACGAGTCGAGCCGAGTTCGAATCGTGAGCCAAATCTCGAGCTTGAGCTTGGCTCGAGGCAACTGAAAAAAAGGTCACGAGCAGCTCGAAAGCTTCCGCGGTCCACCTTTCACAAACGGTTCGCCTTCCGCGCTTCGCCAGTTAGCCTTCCGCAGTTCGCCAGTTCGCCTTCCGCGCTTCACTAGCTCTCACATGGACACGGTTCACCTTCTATGGTTCGCATGTGCATAATCGATCCACTCAACGAGTAAAGGAGCCAAGCGTCGATTCGATCAAACTCGATTACACAACGAGCACAAAAATCTGCTCGAGCTCAAGCTCGAAACTCTATAAGCTCAACTCGCGAGCTCGTTAGCGAGTCGAGCTCAAGATAATTTGTATTATTTGATGAAATGGAAACATAAAATACCATGATATAATTGATTCTCTATTCGAGAGGAGGATTTATCTCTCTCAATTCTCTAAGCGTTGCTAGAGTCCAAAATATAAGAGAGATCTCAATTTTCAGCCAAATTCAAGATGCCCTAGCCCTAGGAAAACAAATTATTTAATGCTTACAATCCAAAAGGAAATATCTAAACAATCCCTGCATTCAAATTTCCCTCATAAACTTCTCCTAAAACCTTCCTAATATGCTCTTTTGGACTATGTAGTTTGATCGGCATATGCAAGAGGTAGAACTTCTCCACTCTTGATGCCCGCAAGCCGATCTCATACGGACCGGCTGGACTGATCTAGTGGACCAGTCTAACAAAACTCCCCTCCTAAAGGCCCACCTTGTCTACAAGGTGGAAAGACAACACCTTCCTCCCTTCCCTCGTCATCACAAATGGTAAGAACCTGAAGAGTTTGGTCCTCACATATGTGCCCCGGCGTATACCTCTCGTCACATCTGAAATAGAGCCCCATCGTCATCTTCTCCTGTAATTCTGTTACTATGAGCTTGTTGAAGTTGTCCCCAGGTCTTCCTCTTGCAGTATTTTACTTCGAAGTCCCTCGAAAAGTATTCAATGTTGGCTCCTTAGATATTGTGGGCTCCGAAAATTCGGCCCTGGCCTCCGCCCGCTTTTCTTTTTATTCGGCGAGGGAGTTTAACTGAATAAGTTCCGAGGTAAATTTTGGAAGGCGGATGGGCTTGTAGATAAGACACTACCCAGAGATTTCGCCGTCATTTTGTGAGGACTTTATGATCTGAGTTCTGGTTTCCTATAGGCGCAAGCCCCTATAGTTAATTACCCCTCCCGACCACGGGAAAGAACTTTTGATTAAGGCTAGTCGTCAATCAGATACGTATAAAATACGTGTTATCTGGCATATAGTAGCAGCATAGGTTTTGGTTATTGGGAGTTTGGAAAATGGTTAGGAATTGAAGAGTTTGATATTTAAAATATGAAATTTCACCATCTTGCACTTAAAGCGGATGGTGGGGGAATGGATGATAGACCCGATCAAGATCCCATGGTTCCGTCGTCCCGGGCCATCGTCGTCCAGGGTCTACTTAGTCAGAGGAGGTAGTCGACCCAACCTGACAGAAGGATCCTTGTCGGCAGCCATGGGTTGCTTCGTCCAAGGGGACCTTGTAGACCTAGGTTGGATGTTTGTCCAAGGGAACAAATTTGAATCCACCTTAGCTAACAGAGGGCTTTGTGCCCTATCGATCATATCTTATTGATTCATATCTCAAGGATTTTATGCCAATAAGGAACGTAACAGCGCTGGCCATAACC